TCAATACAATAAAAATTCATTTTCTTTTACATTTCATATATTTTACTATACAATAAATCGTTTTAAGTGTACATATAGTGAAGATATTTCCTAATATATTTATTCATTTGAAAGGGCTTGAAAACTTAGAACTTTGGCTTGTAGAAGAATGAACCTCTCAAGACTTTAGCTCTTCAAATTGCAGATATTTTAAATTTCAGTTTGAAAAGTGTATAGCTCTATCATATATTATTACTTTTCTTTCTTGAAAAATGACTGCACTTTTCTCTAAAGAAAGTAACACGGAAGAAAATGCTGTTTGGTTATTGAAATTACTGTAGGGCTGAGGAATTGTTTTATAATTCAGTCAGAAAAATATTATCCTTTACAAAAATATTTCTTATGAAAGCCTGGGGTTTGTTGCACTGTGGGTTTTGTAGATTATGTGACTTAACAATTTACATAATGAGTTAGAACTATAAATATTGGGTATTTGAGATAGATCAAATGTGGTTTCTTTAAGTTAAATTGCTTTTCTTAAGGATGCATAGTTTATGCAAAGTGAACGTATTTAGAAATTTATACATCACTTTCAAAATTCGTTTCGTGATTTGAAATGTGTATTACATAGATGTCCGCAGACCTAGAGGTCGCAGCCTGCATTGTTTTCATCCCAGGCATGGGTTCGAGCCTTAATGCCACAAAGACCTGCCGTGTAGCGAACTGATACAAGTTAATCTGGTCGAGATTTAAGTAATCCATTTGCACATGATGTGAAATTTGGAAAGTGCTGGATCAGGTGTAGCTCTCTCGTCATGACCGAGATCTAAAACCGAGGACCGTCGCCAATAGCCGTGTTGTTTCTGAGTTGCGTTGTTAACAAACGTCCCAATGAATGTTTCATCGAGTTGTGGGTTCGAGTTTTGATGTAACAGAGTAATCTTGACGAAGATTTATATGCTAAATCTGTCGAGGCTCAGAATCCTCACATTGAAACATGTATTTTAGTTTGGTTGGTGTCGTCTTCATCACTTATACAATATTATTATTAGTTTTATTAACGGTGCCTTAGAAACCTTTGGGGCTGTGGTGACGGACCTGTAATTTTGAGCCACGATCAAGCGACGAGGACGACACTTGAGCTGGCCTCTCTAACACCCACACCACGCTAACCTTCGTCATGACTGAGGTTAGCTTAGAGGCCTGTTTGCTTCTAAGTGACATTAATAAACAATCAATTGAAGTGAAGTTAAAATCTAAACAAACTTTGTGTCGATTTAAAAACATAAAAATATGCCATTTAGGTTAATTGTGCCTTGAAGTTATTTAATTTTAACTTTAATCGTTTACTTTAAAAATTTTATGATAAAGTCCATGATTAGAGTATAAAGAACCACATTTTTAAGACTCATGCTGATGTTTCCAAGTATCATATCTGCTCAATAACTTGCTCGCTTACCAACTAAAGGCATAACATCAGTAACTCGAGACCATTGAAACAACATTTTTGCAAAATTTTTATTCATCAACAACACCTTTTGTTAATCACCTTTTAGAAAATTTGATACAATCGTTCAACTTTTAATTTTTCAAAAATTTTTCTTTTTCCCGCAAAATTTTTGTTAGAGTAATAACGATAACAGCTTCCCTGAATCATCGACTCGTTACTGTTTTCATTCCATCAGAAAGCAATCGCAGCGCGCCACTTGGAAAAACAGCATGCTCAATTTTCCTTGAAGATGGTAATGCAACCATATGATATCCTGTGTCATCCTCAGCAATCTCACGGAGCTTCGCACACGATCTTTCATTATAATTTTGTCACTTCACTCACATTTTCCAGTGTAACGTACCACAGGTCTACGAGGCGTTCCGCGTCATTTGTGTCAGGCCGACCACGTTTAAACTCGGCAAACCACCGACAAATTGTGCGATGGACAAGAGTCGGGTAACATTTTCAATCCATTGTTCACGCTTGCACGGTGTTTACCCATTAAAAACAATGTTTATCAAGCCACGAAACTCGGTTTTCCATTTTTAAGCAAACTACAAAACGACTTTTACTCAACTTTCGATATCAGCTGTTTCTGGTCGATCGACTTAAATTTGACACGTTTCAGCAAGGTTAATTCGAAGAATATAGTTTATGAGACACTACGAGCATATACATACTGGGGTAGTCTCGGGAGTTATTGATTGATATGAATAATCAATTAAGTGATGACGCGCACAAGGTACGTCTAATAGAGTTTGATTGGCAACGATCCGTGTACTGTGGCAGCCATTATCATCCTGTGCATGGTGTGATACAACACTGTTTCTCCTTCTTCAGCTCAGGGCCTGTAACCCATGTGTCACGTACAGCTACCAAAGCCCACAAAGAGAAAAAGCAACTGAGCAAGAATGATCCAAAGTGTGTGGTGGCTGTGTGTTTTGTTATATTTTGGCAAAATGCAATGTAAAGCGAGATTCGAGAAGGAACCTTGAATGCGGGCATTCAAATGTGTGGTGTGATGTCTCTTATAATGGCGCTAGAAGCTGTACATTGGTTATGTTGCACCAAACAAGGTAAAGCTACTGAAGAGGTTTGAAAAATGAAAGATGAAATGTCTGAGTAAGAAGGATGGTCGAAAATAGAAGGGTTGCTAGGCAGCCCAGGGTTTGTGTCAGTCGTGTTTCAAAGGCAGTAAATCCCGAGGAAGGAAAAGTCTGAGGGACATCGGGGTCATGAAGCCCTTACCCACCTAAGCGAGCCAAAGCCCCCTAGAGGTTTACCTAACCACGGAGAACAGGTCTCCAGATATAATTCTGGGATTCTTCTGGAGAACAGTCGTGAATATAATTCTCACCCCAGATACTAGGTACATATTTTAGTCGGCTCTTATGACATGCATAAACTTCATTGGGACTATTCTTTCACTCTCAGTCACCACACGGGTGTCTATAATATAGGAAGAGACAATGTAAAAACTGGCTTAACTGTAACGTTGTTAATTAATCTTACTTCAGTATATTCGCTAAAAACCAATTCCTGAGACGACGTCAATTATGTGTGGTGTGATTGTCAAAACTGAACCACAACGCTTATTGTCCCTTTTAGTGAAATAAAGCTTTAGCAATAGAGAAGCAATTTTTCACTGTTTATGGATGATCTGGAATAAGACTGTGCCCTTTAGCAATTCAAGTCGTCCCATTCTTTAGATCACATTAATCACTAGCAGCATCAGGTTTTGATAAGCCATTTCCATCCACCAAAATTGATTGATTGTTTAAAGCAACTATGAAATGTTCTAATTACTGGGATCCCTATTTAATTTGAATCTGAATCTGATCTCAGTTAAGACTGTGTGCTGTGGTAACAACACGGCGGGTCTTCAGAGACGCCTGTGGTTGAGCCCCTACTCCGTGGAAACATAGTTGGCCTCAAACTTTCACGAGAGCATGACCACCAGGCCACCCTCTACCACTGTCAAATTCCTACCTTCTCAATGAAAGGTAGACTCCATCTCCTGAACATGAACAATTATCTTGGTGCCAACAATAGAACAATAACCATTAAAAGTTTAACACAGTTTTCTCCGACTGTTATAAAAGTGACAACTCTAAAAAAGTAGTGTGGGGGTAATTATTTTAAAACATTTTATTGAAGTCATTCATATAAACATCAATTTTTGTCATTATTTTCATTCTTTTAATGGTGAGTGACTAAATTTGGTTGTACGTTCATTTCTCTCCAGAAGACTGTAGTTTTGCAAAATGTAATCGTATTAGCAGCTATTGCATTTGATGCTAATAAATATCTATATCGGAATGCAATTGGTTATATTTTGATGTAATAAAACGGATAAGAAAGATATTAAAATGTAAAATAGCATCATTTGAATCAAACTACAAAATATGCGAGTAAATATTTTGACGTTGTTCGTAAGAAAACACCATTATATATTTATTTTATTTTTATTAAATTTACATTCTGGTTATTCGGGAATTACTTTATTTCGTAATTATTTAAAAATTATTTTTAAGAAAATGGGAGAGAATTCTACGAAATAATGTATTTCAGACCAAAATCTTATATATTAATTAATATCAAATGCATTTTTAATTATGAAACTGAAGTTGTTTTTTTAAAAAAAAAATGTCAAATTTTGTAATTAGTTTGCTTTTATACTTCTTACAGATTTCACGTTAATTTGACACCGAGAATTTCATTAAAAAAAAAAAAAAAGAAACAAAAATATCTTAATTAAGATTGAAAATAATTTTTGATAAGAAAATAGTTTGTTTTACTTTAATTTGAAATTGTAATTAAATCGCGAAAAAAAAATAGTGAATAATACTTTAAAAAGGAGGCAGTATTGATTTTGAGATTAAAACTGCTGAAAACAAACGTATTTGCAGAAAAACAAAGTCTTAAGAATTTATTGAAACAAATATTAATATACAAGAATAATGAATGCGAAATATTTTGATTAAAATAATTCATAATAATTTTTACAAATAAAACAATTTTTTTTAAATTTGGAAGATGAGGGAATTTGATAAACTATATTAAAAACAGTTATAAAAGTAAATAAGCTAATTAATGCACTTCTAATTAAATTAATTAACATACTTCAAGAATAACGAACAATTTAATAGCAAAAAATAAAATAACGCAGGTAAAAAACAAGTTTTTTAAACATAGGTTTTCTTTCAAACTTCACACTTTGCGTAACATCATTTCTTATACCTTAAAATTTTATGAGGGAATAGTTTAATTTGTTGGTTTCAATATTCAACTGTTTCACGTTATAAACAATTAAAATAATCAATAAGATTTAATTCTTTAAGTAATTAGTTTTAATCAATTAATTTTTATTAATTATAATTAAATTATCGCATTGTCATCCAAAAAAATCGTATATGGAAAATTTCAGCTAAATTGAGCGCTTTAAAATATGTAAAAAAGAAAAGCTTTTACTCAGACATAGTAACAAACTGAGTAGAAAAAAACTTATTATGGAAAAAAGTAATCACATTTGAAGAGCTGGGGATCGAACCCATGGCCTTTCACATGTAAAGCGAGGACTCTACCACTGAGCTACACTTCAACTGTTTCACAATCTAAACAATTAAAATTGTGAGTGAAATTTAATTCCTTAAGTAATTATTTTTAATCAATTAATTTTTATTAATTATGATTAAATTATTTTATCGGCATCCAAAACAATCGTGTATAGAAAATTTCAGCTCAACTGAGAGCTTCAGAATGTGAGAAATTGTTTTAAAGTTTTGTCCCAAACGTACTTACAATGTGAGTAGATAAAAACTCATTAATAATAATGGGGTTGTGATAGTTTAATGGTAAGAGACCCATGAACGATGGTTAGTGGGTTCAAATTTTTCTAAAATAGGTGGTGTGATAAATTGAAGGCTAATGCCAGTATAACTTCAATATGTTTACGATGAGTTGTGTTTACGAATACATGGCATAGATCGAGCAATGATTGGCTGCCTATAGCATTGGTACCATAAGGTGACCTTCAAAGAAAATGAAGATAAAAGTAATCGTAAAATAAGGTATCCCAGAGAGTAATGCGGTCACCCTTTCATTGTGAACCGAAATAATAATTATTATTATAAATTGTATTTACGAGGGTTGTTCAAAAAGACTTACACTACTACGATAAATCTCTTTATTTACGAGCTTAGTTTGTAACACTTTGCGGAGACCGATATAAACAGACCTTTGAAAATGACGGACTTAACAAATTTACATCTTCTCCGAGTTTCTTTTTTTCGTAAGAAACTAATTTGAATATCACAATGAGTGCCAACAGCTTTTTCTTGAGAAAAATCGTTGCAAGACGTAAATTAGGCGATACATTTAATAATTTAAATTGAATTAATAAGGATATCATATTCATCTCACCCTTCTCAGGCAAATTCACATTAGTCAAAAAATACGTAAAAAATATATATTATCATTAATTCGTGAGAAAATCCTCAGATGTCAAAAAATAGTCGGTTACTGATATAATAAACATATTCTTCATTGTTTATTATCATAATTAAACTTCATTAATTAATCATATAAATAGGATGTACATTTGATTAAATATATTTAAACAATTTTCATTTTTTGCACTACAAGATGCAACTATATTAATATTAAGGAAATAGACAAATTAAGTTAAGAGAATTATTTAATCAAAATCGAGCCAGAAAAAAAAATTAGAATAATATAGTTATTATAGTTCAATTGAATTTACCAGATACTCTCAAAGATAACCAAAGTGATCTTTTTTACCTTTAAATATTCGTAGTACGTATCAACCTGTTACAAAAGTTTTGAAATATTTAGCGACTATTTTGAAGAGATGTGGTATAATTCAGTGTATATCTTTCTGACTAATTCGCTTCTTACATTCCTTTAATTGCCTTTCGTTAATTTAAATTCACTGGTTGTAAAAAAAAAATAACTTTTCTTGCATTCCTTCTTGGCGAATCTTTCTTGCATTCCTTTCGAAAATTTGAAATTCATTCGCCGTAAGAAACTTTTATTCTGGAGAATATTTCTAGCAATGTTTTAATTACTTTTCTATGATTTGAAATTCATCGACTGTAAGATAATTCTGGCGATTCTTTCTTACATTCCTTTCGACAATTTGAAATTCTCTGGTCGTAGAAAAAAGGATTTAACCTTTAGAATCCTATCCTTAGATTCTTTTATTAACAACCTTTTAACAATTTGAAATTCCCTGGCCGTAAAAAAAAGCGCCAAATGGTGCCGCGAATGCCAAATGAAACTTACTTCGACTTGATATTCCTTTCGACAATTTGAAATTCGCTGATAGTAGAAAAAAGGATTTAACCTTTAGAATCCTTTCCTTAGATTCTTTTATTAACAACCTTTTGACAATTTGAAAAATTGCGAAATTGCGCCAAATGACGACGCGAATGCCAAATGAAACTTGTTTCAACTGGATTTCGATAAGAAGAGGTTTTTATAAACTGAACAACATTATGTCGGAGAAAAAAGGTTTCCTCTATGTTAGGCAAATAACGTAAGAACAAAAGAAAAAATAACGAATTAGCAGGAATAGGATTGAATACAAAAAAAAAAAAAAAAAAAAATTAAAAAAAAAAAAGTTTCAAGAAATAGTTGAAGAAGAAGGCTTAAAAAACTCTTTAGAACTCACTTATGTACGTACATTCTATATCTTTAATTGCTTTTGAACTAAACGCGATTTCTTAGATTTCGCTAGATTCTTGTTAACTTCCCTCGAAATAATAGCTGTTTCTTTATCTTACCCTTCTTGTTATTCTTCCTATCTTTTTTAGAATATTATGTGGGACAGTGAAATGCCAAATCAGTTTTTCGAAGCTGGAACAGAAAGAGTAATCTTCATCGACTTCAAGCACTTTGAATCTTACATGAGTCAAAAAGATTAAATCTCATTCTTGTTGAAAAGTTCCAAAATCCGATTATTCAAGGTAGCTCCCTAATATACGTGAATAACACAGAGAATTATTATTTTTGGTTTTTTAGCTACTTCAAAATATTTCAAGCACTAAGTAAATGTATTAGAACTTTCATAATCCTCTCTAAGATTTCAGCGTGGAGCTTTTTTTCCCCGATTGCTTAAAATGTTAAGCAGGATTTAAAAAATTTGATTTTTTTTATGATGAATTTTAGAACAGGTACTGTTAGAAACCCTTATTTTAAGAAATATGATTGCTATTATTTTAATATTGCAAATGAAACACCTTTTTATCAGTAAAATGTGAATTTAGTTTTCTGTAGCACTCGAAAAAGAATGCCAAACTACCAGCCAGTGGATCGTATACGGCATGAAACGAATTTCTTTGGGGTTTAACTAATATGACAGCATACAACAGAAATTTTACGAAGCAATGTGATGTATTTCCTTTATTCCTACAGCCATCTTAAAGTCTAATAACTAAATTCAAAACTCCAATTGAGATTATGAGTACGTAAGCGCAGGACAGAGCTATCTATTAATTACTAAAGAGTATACAAAGTCATTCTCTCTTAAATCCCACTTAACTCAGTTAATCTTAGTTTATAGTGGCAGCAGTAGCCTAGTGGTCATGGTCGCGGCCGGTGGTTTTCTTCGATTCGTGGGTTCGAGCCTTGTTGCTACTGAAGACCAGCTATGTAACCGGGATTGATGCACGTTAAATCCGTCGAGGATCAAAAAGTCCTCCCTTTGCATAGTGTGGAAGTTTGGAGAGGGAAGTGCCAGCTCAGGTTTCGTCCTCGTCACTTGACCGAGATTCAAAATTAAGAGGTTCGTCGCCAATAACCTTCATATTGCTTCTAGCGCGACATTGATAAAATCGATAAAAAAACTTTGTTTATATTTTGATAATAAGTCTTAGTTTACCAAATAGCTCGATCTGATTCATGCACTTCTCGGTAACAGCTGATTCGAATCTTAGTACTTCTTTTCTTCTCTTTCTTTTCAATTCCATTTCGCTTATATGTTACTTTATTCTTAATTAAATTCATTTCACTTCTTATTTTCAATTAATTTACCTACTCACTTTTCATTTTAGTTGGGAATAAATTATAACTTTATTTTTTTCAATTAGCAAAATGTCACCGAGTTCAGTGAAGAGAGAACCACGAATAGCTCAACATCACAAAATAAAATATTTTACTTCTTAAACTTTAAGATTATGCACAATTATTGATAATGAACCACAACATTCTTCAGAGAACTGTTTCTAGTCGCGCTGAAGCGAAACATCCATTTTTCCATCAATGTTTTAGCAGATGATAATATAATAACAACAAGCACGCCATTTTGTCTTCCACTACTTTTTTAGAGTGTATATAATTAAATATTCCTATTCCGAAGACGAGGAAAATAAGTCTATTTGAACAGTCATTATGTGTTTGGTATGTAATTGTCAAATGAAAATTATTAGTTTTTGTCAACACTTTTTTTTATCCTGTTGTGCTTACGATTAAGAGTATATTTTCGCAGATAAGACAAAAGTTGATTCATAAAAAAGGCCTCCAAAATCAGAGTCAGCTTATAGAAGAAATACAGTGTTGTTAACACATCAATCAATAAATCCCGAGACTAACCCAGAGATGACGCTCGTAGTAAACCAGTAACCAGGTCTTTCTAGAGTACTAACCTTTGCTTGAAACGTGTCAAAATTTTAAGTCGATCGGACCAGAAACAGCTGAGTTATCGAGGTTGGAGTAAAGTCGTTTTGTAGTTTGTTTAAAAAATGGAAAAAACCGAGTTTCTCGTGTTCTGATAAAACTTTGTTTTTTAATGGGTAAAAACACCGTGCAAGCGAAACAATGGATTGAAAAATGTTACCCGGACTCTTGTCCATCAAAAGCAACGATTTGTCGGTGGTTTGCCGAGTTTAAACGTGGTCGTACCGACACAAATGACGCGGAACGCTCGGGTAGACCTGTGGAAGCCGTTACACCGGAAAATGTGAGTGAAGTGACAAAAATTATAATGAAAGATCGTAAAGTGAAGCTCCGTGAGATTGCTGAGATGACACAGATATCATATGGAAGTGTATTTACTGAAAAAGGTTTTTTTGAAGTGTAGTGAAAAAGGTTTTTTCCAAGTGGGTGCCGCGATTGCTTTCGATGGAACAAAAACAGCAACGAGTCGATGATTCAGAAAGCTGTTTATCGCTATTTACTCGCAACAAAAAAGATTTCTTGCGAAAAAAAAAAAAGATTTGTGGAAAAGCGTTGGAACGATTGTATCACCCTAAAAGGTGATTAACAAAAGGTGTTATGTTGATGAATAAAAAAAAATTTTGCAAAAAAAATGTTGTTTTCAATGTTAGTCTCGGGAGTTATTGATTGATGTGTTATTAAATAACGAGACTGAAGCTGCTTCAAAACAATTACGCAGGCACCAAACACCAGCGACCGACTACTGTTTAGCGTGATGCCTTCTCTGTCGAATGCAGTGCTTCTAGCTTCCACAAATACAAATCCGTATATCCTTAGTCTTCATTCGCATTACAGTTATATTTTTTAGTTTCTCCGGAAAAATGATAAGTGAGCAACGAATTGTTGTGAAATTTCACACGAAACTTG